GGCCGGAAGAACTGGGGGGGCACAGAGGGGTCAGAGACCCCTGGCATCGCAGTGGGCACGGGGCTGGGATCGACAGAGCCGAGGGGGACTCACCACGTCCACCTGGTTGGCGATTTCCAGGGCCCGGACGCGAACGCGTTGGAGGTTGGGGTAATTCTGGAACTGGGGGGACAGGGACAGGGGTCAAGGGGGTGGCTGGGGAGGGGGCAGCCCCTGTTCTGAGCACACTGCCCAGCACTCACCGCAGCGTGGTCCACCACCATCACCAGCTCCACAAACCGCTGCTCTGCTGCTGCCCGCTTGCCCTGGGGACAGAGCGGGGTCAGAGTGCTGATACAGGGACCCTCCCCGTGGGGCAAGACCCCCCCAGGTGACCTACCCTCTGTGGCCTGGGAGGCTCTGTCACCTCTGCCCTGGGGCGGGGGTTCAGGGGGTCCTGCCCACAGGCCCGTGGTGCCACCCGGACCGCCCATGGACGGAACGCGACGTGTTGCTCTGAGGGGTCGCTGTCTGGCTCCAGCTCGTAGCTCCTGGTCTCTGACAGCTGGAGGTGGCCACTGGGAAGGGGAGAAGAGCTGGGAGATGGAGCCTGCTCCACCAGCAGCACAGTGGGAGTGGGCTCACAGACCACCATGCTCGGGGCCTCACCTGAGTCCGGCACAGGCACAGAGGTTGGCCCAGGAGTCAGGGAAGCCCTGCACTGTCCCTTGGTAGCAGCAGTTCTCCTGCAGCAGAGAGGGGGCTCAGAATCCAGCCCCAAGCTGGGGTCCCCCTGGGGCATGGGGACAGCTTGGGGACACCTCAGGAGACCATCACAGCTGAGCCATACCTCCTCACTGGGCTCCTCCATCACCCACGTGCCGTTGGGCAGGTAGTAGAGCAGCGCCCCTTTGCCCTGCACCAGCTCCCTGCCAGAGACTCGTGTCACCCCACAGCAGGGACCCCCTCACCCTGCCCTGAGCACACATCGGGGACCCCAGTACCTCCCATCCTGCTGCAGGTGTACCCCGGGACCCCCAACCCACCCGTGCCATGGATGGAGACAAGGAATAAGGGACCCCCATTCCAGGCGCATCATGGATGGGGACAGGACCCCCACCCTCTGTGGGTCCAGGACCCCCTTCCCACTCCCATCTCTGCTCTGCCCCAGAGCAGCAGACTCACCAGTTTTGCTCCAGCTCCAGCACCAGCCTCATCCCCTCCAGCTCCAGCAGGACCCTCAGCTGGGTGGGGAACCCCTCCTGCCACAGGCCATGGTTAGGGGGGGACCCCCTGCCCCAAGCTGTGTGTTCCCCCCATCCCCACACACCCTCAGAAGCACCGTGACCCCGCGGGGTGTCGGGGGACCTGCCTGGCCCTGGCACGTGCCCGGAGGGAGAGGTCGGAAGGGATCCCCTGCCCAGCCCGGCCCCCACCCTCGCTCCCTACAGGAAATGTCCCTCCCTCCCGGGCTCATTGTGCTGGGGAAGGGGGGGTTGGACAGAGCGGGGCCCCCACCCCGTCCCCCCGCGCTTCCTGCCCGGTGCAGCGCAGCGGAAGCGTCGGAGAGACTCCCAACGGCCACGGGGTGGGAAGGGCCCTTCCTCCCCAGCCGGGAGGGGCTCAGGGTGGGTACCCCGGCCCAAAAAGGTCCCTCCCAGCATCAGGAGAGCAAGGGGGATTTGCTGAGATGCCCCCCTTCCCACTGCCCCTTGGGTTCTGGGTGCTGGGACCTCCAGGGACATGGCACCAGGACCATGTCCTGCACTGAAAAGGGGGCAGGGGGAGGTGTTGGGGGGCAGGCAGCCCCCCCACACTGTCAGAAGCATAGGGGACCTCAGGGAAGTTGGTGGGGGCTCACCTGGGTCGCCTCTGCCAAGCTGAGCTTTTGGTTGTCCCGCAGGACCCATGGGGTCACGTGCCAGTAGTGTCCTGGTTCTGCACGGTGCTGCCACGAGCTGTCACCTGCACAGGGCCCAGGGCCACTGTGTCACCTCTGTGTCACCACTGTGTCACCCACCGCAGCCCAGACCTCACGGTGACCCATCATATCCCGGACCCCCACGGTCACCCATCATATCCCGGACCCCCACCGTCACCCATCATATCCTGGATCCCAATGGTCACCCATCACATCCCAGACCCCCACAGTCACCCATCACATCCCAGACCCCCGCGGTCACCCACTTCATCTCGGACCCCCATGGTGACCCATCATATCCCGGACCCCCATGGTCACCCACCACAGCCCAGACCTCACAGTGACCCATCATATCCCAGACCCCCACAGTCACCCATCACATCCCAGACCCCTGCGGTCACGTACTTCATCCCGGACCCCCACAGTCACCCTCATCAAAGTCTGGTCATCCATCACATTCCGGACCCCCATGGTCACCCACTGCAGCCCACCAGGGCAGGGGTTCTGTGTGGGGAGCAGGAACGGGGACCCCCACACTCACCCCACAGCAGCCAACACACCCCCTCCCAGCAGAGCTGGGGGAAACCTCTCCGTTTTTGGGACGGAATGGGCTCCCTGGCCAGGCCTTGCGTCACCTCGGCCAGCTGCCCAGTACAACCAGCGGAGGGACT